AAGAGTACAGACGAGGGGCAAAAAATACTACAAAATACAAAGGTCTCTGTGTTCAGCGGTCTCTCACGCTCTTTAGCTCACCAGGGGACAGTAAATGCATTGCTCATAGAAGTTCTATGTTCCCAGATGTGGAAGCTGGATTAATTGTGAATGCTCACCTCCCATCCCTTTTCCACTCTGGGTCACTCTTTACTGGCCTCTCATAACACTCTTTCAATGTGACGTTTGCTGGACAAATGGTCTCATGTTTCTGGGAATGGGAAATGGATAACATGAACACACAGTAATGTCCCTCCAGACTCTGGCTGATTTATGCTGTGATCCTCACCCTCACAGGCAAGGTAGTCTGCTGGCACTCGCTAGCTCTGCAATAGTGGCTCTGTCAGCATTCCCACCATAAACTTCTGTTTTTAAAGGTTTATGACTTGACTATAAAAGGCTGCCTGCAGGGGGGTGGATCTTACAAAATTGTTTTAAGTTACAAGAGAGTAAAAAAATAAAAATAAAATGTCTGTAATTTCAGACACTATCTAGTGCTTCTGGAACTTTGAAAAGCCTATAATTGTGCTGTCTGTGCACCCTACTGGCATTCCAATCAATGCTTTGAAGTTCAGTGTTTTAAATATAAAATGAAGATACTCCTTTTACTTTGAAGGGATGGTTATCAAAGAAGATTAATGTGTAGCTTGCAAGTGAAATAATAATGGGGGGTTTTCTTTCTAGTCAAAGGAATTTTAGAATCCCTTGCACGTGAATTAAGAACCATATCTGGTGGTTAGAAGTGACCAATGGTAATATTAGAAATGAAGCCTGCTGAAAGAATTATTCAGGTTTTGTGAATTGAGATAGTCATAAATTTAAGAGCTATGTACAACAATTTAGTAGACACAATCATAGGCTGGCTGTCCTCCCAATTGAATAAGCACATTCTTTTAATAATGCATGTGGCACTGTGAACTTTTAGGGAAAGAAATAATGTGAGCCAATACTAGTTGGGTTGATGCTACTGTAGTTTTCTCTAATATTTCAGTACTCCTTATCTCAGAATTGGCTTCTCATTATCATCAAATGTTGTCTTCCTGTGTATTGTCATATAGTCCGAAAACAAACAAACAAACAAAAAAACTTGAAGTGATTTCATTTATTCATCATCAGAAATTTGTTGAAGATCAAATTATATGTCAGACAAAATTTAGGTGCTGGAACAGATATGAAGAAGAATAAGCATGGTCTCTACTCTTAAGGAACAGGTAGATAGATTCAGGATTAAGTGCACTTTGAGAAAGTGATATGTCGTAACAAAGGCATCAACAGGCATTAACTCCATCTGCACAAATCACAGATGACTTTAGAGCAGTAGTTCTCAAAGTGTGGTTCTCAGATCAGGGTGTCAGCATCACCAGGAACTTGTTAGAAAAGCAAATGACTGAGTCCCACCTCAGTTCTACTCAGAAACTTTAAGAATGGGGCCCAGCTATCAGAGCTTTTACAGACCTTTCAGATGATCCTAAGACCCAGTCTTAATGCCCTAAGGCAATGTTTCTCAAGTGTTAGAGAGTAGCAGAGTCCTCAGAAGTCCTTCATAATACACAGATAACAGATTGCTGCCCACTCGCACCACGAGATTGTTGATTCAGTTGGTTGGGAGCAGAACACTTTGCTCTCAGGTGATACTGAAGCTGCTGACCTGGGAGCCACACTTTGAGAACCACTGTCCCAAGTCATCTACATTTAATCCAAATACTTCTCTCGCTTGTTACGTACTATCCTTGGAAGAATGGAGAAAAAATAGTGACTCAGACCATCTTCTATTTTATGGTTCAGATGGGAGTTCCAGATGAGAAAGGCTGAGGGAAAACAGGGCAGGATGGTATTTTAAAAAGGAGGAACACTTGTGCAGCAGTTAAGTTGTGAACGATCAAGTTAGTTAAGACAAGAGCCACAACTGTTTGAGAAACTGAAGAACAAATGTTAAAGTGTGAGGAAGTTTGGGAAGATTTACTTACATAGGCATAGCTAAAATTATTTTCTCACCCCATTAAATTAGGTTAATCATGTGGGATCCTGTTCCCGAAATTGAAAGTCTATAATATGTGGAGAATGAAATACTTATTCTGTGTTACTTTCATGGCTTCTTACAAAAGAGTCAGATTCACATTTTCTTTTTATTTCTTAGACATAAGAAACCATTGGCTTGACTTGAACCTATGTTTTCCTTTTTAATCTACATGCCACTTTCCAAAATTGGAAAATACGTGACTTAGAGTACAGAGACCTAAGTTTCAGTATGGGTGTGTGCCTGATAATCCATATTCAAAGCTCAAAGTTTGACCATTGAGTTTAGCTATTCAAGAACTTCATGGAATGGTAATTATGAAGTCCAATACCCACTCACCCCTCCATCCGGTAATGAAGAAGTAAACTTGATTAGGGAAGTGTCCAATCCAATGGGCGAAGACAGAAACTAAATCGTGAATTCATTGCAATATGATAAATTTTATTTGAAAAACAAACAAAACTTTTATACGAGTTGTAAAAAGCACATCTAACTTTGTGTGAAGCCTGGGGTTGGAGGTCAGTGAAGGATTCTTTGGAGAAAAGATGTTTAGGCTGATACTTGAGAGATGAGTAGGCAGAAGAGCCATGGAAAGTATAACCAGTCAAGGAGGGCAGTTTGTGCCCTGGACACGAAGCAGGAATAGTCAAGGCCAGGAAGATGAGTGACAACAGCGATGATGCTAGAGAGGGTGGCAAGTGAAATTGCTTGGGCCATACTGTGGGATTGTAAGCAGGACGCTGACATGATCAGATTTGAATTTTTAAGGTCTCACCTATGGTTACTCGTGCAAAATGCAATGGAGGAGGGAGATGCTGCATTCTGATAAAGCATCAATTTAAAATTCTCACCCTTCCTCAGTTCCTAAAGAAAAATAACTTTATAAGTTTTACTCTTTCATCATGACTTCATGACATACCATGATTCATATGCCATGATTGCAGTTGCTTCTTACGATATAGATCAAGAGGCTCTGCACTTAAGAATATGCTTCATTGTAAGCAAACTCAGTGTACATAAAAGATAAAGTGAAAGGAGTGAATAGTTCAATCTTGGTGTTATGAGCTGAATTTTGTCCTCTCCAAAATTCATATGCCGAAGTCCTAATCTAGTACCTGAATTCCAGTACCTCAGAATGTGAATGTATTTAGAGATAGGGTCTTTAAAAAGGTAATTAAGTTAAAGTGAGGCCATTAGGTTGGCCCTAATCCATTCTGACTGCTGTCCTTATAAGAAGAAGAGATCAGGACACAGACACGTACAGAGAGAAGATGATGTGAAGACACAAGAAGAAAACAGCCACCCATAAGCAAGGAGAAAATCCTCACAAGAAACCAACCTTTAAGACACCTTGATTCTAGCCTCCAGGATTGTGAGAAAATACATTTTTGTTACTTAAGCCACCTGGTCTGTAGTATTTTGTTATGGCAGCCCCGGCAAATTAATATACTTTGAACCAAAAAATCCTTTGTTTTTTTTTTAAAAAAATTACAATAGATCTTCTTAGAAATGTGTTCTCTTGATGAAATTGAGATGCATTTATTTCTCAGCAGAAAAAGGAGAAATTAACGTATTAGATAGAGTTTTTGGAGGGCAGGATATGAAGGAAGAACCAAAGAAATGTGCATGCTATATAAAGTGAAACATGGCTGTTGTTTCAGTGACTCCTACATTGCTCAAACCTCCAATAGCAGGTTGTACACCACTCAAGAGTGACTGCATTGGCCAAATTCAGAGACCCGGGTGATGTCATTTCTGCCTTGACCATGAAAATCAACAATTGTCAATGTTCTGAAAGCCTGAATACCTCATGCACACATACAAGTCAGGAAGATTTTCTTCATTCTGTTCATTTCTATGCAAATCATCAAGCATGTATCCTGCCTATGTCTACTGGTATACTTTGTGTATAACATTATCAGGAATGTAAAGAATTTTACAACATGGTCTACAACCTCAAGGAAATCAAGTTAGAGATCAGTTAACACACAATTACAATTTGTTATCTTTCAAAGTGAGTTGACAAAAGTTAGTCTGGAATGGTTTTCCAAGTGATGACAATGTTCACCCTAGGTGGATGCACTTGCCTGCAATGAGCTGACTTCTAGCTGATACCCAACATCCATCCATTCATCCATGTTAAATCAGCTGGAGACACACATAAACACACCAAGCCATGAGGGCATGGCTTGGCTTTTATTTTTTTCATTGTTATTGAGCAGTTTCTTTTTCTCTATGGTTTCTTTTGCTTTGTTTTTCATGAAAGCACAGCAGGTACAACCATTTTAACTCTATTTCTGGCTGAGATCCTCTTTTGTAAACATTCCCTTAAAGTTAAAACGAAAACTACTCTTCCTTTTTCAACAATGAAAGGAATACAATTTTTTTTCTGTTCTGCTTAAAATATTAAAAACACTCTGCTGGAGTATTAAATGTAATGCCTCCTTGACCTCCCCTTACATTTCTGGGTTCCTTACGATTTCCCAATAATTCCTTTTTCACTAAATCTTTTTTCTCTTCTCTCTTCTCCTTACTAAGAAATTCTACTACCTCTCTTCTTTGGAAATCCATTTCAAAACATTTGGATGCTTTGTTCACCACACGGGCTCTTTTGCTTTGGAGTACAGGGCATTTATTATCTCTGGCAGGAATTGGCAGAATCTGAATTTGTTGATCTACAGGCACAGAGAGGACTGGGAATGGGGTATGAATATCATTATGATTTGGGACACATAAACACATTCTACGTACATATTTTAACAAGCACAATGTATTTATAATTACATTGGAATTCTTTGGCTCCAAGCAAAGATTCAGACAGGTTTGATAAGCTAATTTTTTTTCTTTGCATATTCTATTGCTTTGGGCCCTAGTACTTAAAAGGCATGGAATTAAAAAGGGAACAATGAGGAAAGATTGATTACGTATGGAGCAAGAGTTTTACCTGGCAAAGCCAACACCTCTGCTGACTCCATTAGCATCTCTTAGTATTCTTGTGGAAATGACATGTCCGAAGGGTTTCAGCATATTCTCGAGTTCCTGCTCATCCATGGAAATGGGGAGATTTGAGATGTATAAGTTCGTTGGGTCTTGCTCTTGTTGCTAAGGGAGGGAAAGAAACAAATGCAGTATTTGAATATTGAGAAACATCACAAAATGGAGAAATTTTTGCTTAAACTGCATCTAGATTCACATCTCCAAAGTCCTCTTGAAAGTCCTCTCACTAGAGGCCCTATTTCTTTTCACTGAATCCCCTTCTTGTGCAGAGAGAATGTTTATCATAGACAAAACGCCATTAATGAAAGCCAAGCTCTCTGTCCATCATTCCTTAGAAAAGACTAATAAACTTTTATTGCAATTGAACTAAAGCAAATGTATATATTCCTTCTATTACCACTGACTACTAACTTCCACAATCACTATAACTATCATCACCACTAGTTACTGATGTCCCATTTAGTGACAGTTCAGAATGGGCTAGGCATTGTTTTAAGCACTTAATTGGCATTATTTCATTTAGTATTCCCAATAAGTATAATTACCATTTTACAGATGATAAAACTGATCCCTAACTTATCCAAGTTACACAGCTCATAGAGGTCAAAGTTTGGGCTGAAATATGGGCCTATCAGTGAAGTCCATAGGTTTCACTGCCCTGCTACACTGCCTTCCACTGACTAGACCATGAGGTCTCAAAGTGTGGTCCCAGAACTGCAACCTCACCTGCAGCATCACCTAGGAACTTGTTAGGAATACAAATTCTCAGGCCTCCCACCAGAACTACTGGATCAGCAACTCCAAGGGCGGGCTAAGCAATCTGTGTTTGGATAAGCTCTACAGGTGATTTTGATAACTGCTTAAGTTTTAGAATTGCTGTCCTAGAGCGAGCATGAATATTTATGTACAATTAAGATTATGATGTCTATCATTTTCTAACTCGGCAGGAATAATGGTTAAATAAGCTTTGCTTAATAGAATGAGAAACCAAACCACAATTGCTAGCATCGGTTCTATCAGTATGAATATTCTCTATTTCATACAATAAATTAATAAGTTAGAACTTAGTTATATGTATGCCTCAAAATAAAATATAACCATAAACCTGACATGATTAATCATTAATATCAAAATTTGTTAGATATTGAATTGAACTATATTTTAACCAAAACAACAACTTTAACTTCAATGATAAGCAAGAGATTAAATCAGATAAAGAAATTCTAAAGTCTATAGGAAATGGTATTATGTAACAGTAAAATATCTTTTGTGAAGAGATGATATCACATTGTTAGAAAACGTGTGGTTATAAACACAATGGAAAAGTACAATAAACAGATTTCAAATATTATTTTGGATCAAGAAACAATTTTGGCATGAAACTAAATTCCATTATTTTTAACAGCTCTAAATATTCAGATAGGTCATAGTGCTTTTATTAAGCCTTGGAATGAATGAGATCCATTCTTAGTTTTATTTTTTTAAAGATAGTTTACTTTTCAAGCTTTTTAGCACCATGGAAAATAGTAAAAATAAACATATAATCAAAATAAAAAAACTAGAGCTTTAATATTTAGCAGTAGTATAAATGGAGAGACTGAAGAACTGAAGTTAGCCTTTCTCGCTCGCACACAAAATCACATCCTCCCCCCACCACCAGATTGCACAGTCCTAGAGAGAAGACACAGACAATATTATCCTTTCCTAAGCAGTTTTGATCTTGTTTTTGTTTTTGTTTTGTTTTGGTTTTTTGTTGGGGTGGTAAAAAAAGAAAAATGTTGTTTCAGACACACAGTAACGAAACTTATTTACATATAACTTTCACCTTTTATAGTATTTCACTATTCATCATTTAACACATCATCATTCCAAAGATAGTTTAGCAAATATCATTATACTTATTGAATACTGAGGCATGAAAGACTCATTATCTTGCCCAAGGACAATCCAATAATTAGTGACAAGGTTAAAATTAGAGTTAGCAATCAAGTTTCCTGTCTTCCAGCTCAGTACATTTTCCACCAGTTCAGTGTTTCCCACACATCAATCATTTGCAATATCAAATCTTAGAAATTTTTGCCAGCCATGTACTGTTATTTACTTAAAAGTTTATTTTTCTAAATGACCATACCTTTGGGCCTTAAATAAATTCATTTAAAACGATAAATTTATGTTGCTACCATAATTAAAGAGCCAGTATCACTAGTCATAAATAGAAGATAACTGTAAGAACAGAGAACAAATTAATGTTTTTAAAGTATAGCTAAATACTGTTTGTTTGCAGAAGGCTTTGGCACTCCTGGTTGACTCTCTTTGTTGCAAAGGGGAATCGTAACTAAGGGAGGTGTTAGAAGCACACTAACACCAAACTGAGTTTTTGTATTGGAAAGAATCAGAATTGAGGAAAAAAATTAAGAATGGAAAAACTTTCTCTTGATGTGATTTCTGAGTTCCACATGCCTAGATCTATTCAAGT